ATGGCTGGCGCACTCGGCCGGAGCGGCTTGCGGAAGCTCCATGTACATTCGCGACGAGGATTTAGACCAACTCCTGCGTGACACGGCCGGGAGGGTCCCGCGCTGCCTTGTGCGGTGCCGGACCTATACGCTCGACAACGTAGAACTCCGCGCGTCTGATTTCGTGCGCACATAGTGTTCTTGATTTTTTCAAATCTTGACCTAGTATTAGTAGAGTTGGATTGATCGAAGCGTAACTATTTCGGTGCCTTCTTGTTTGTGCATTGACGCCATGCAAGCAAGCTTCCCCCGCCTCCCGCTGCATCCCAAGACATCTTCACCCTTTTTCTTTTGCGCCTTTTTCCTTTAACATGTACTTGTTTTCCATCCCCCTTTCTTTCGCCCTTCTTTCTCCCTCTCTTCATCCGAATCTTGGTCTTGCTCCGTATCGATCTGCGCCCTCTCCTTTCCCACCATTGTCTTCGTACAGGAAGTCACTACCGAGCCTTTCTCAAAGCCTTCCAAGTCGTCGGACGATAGCTTGTAAGGAGGCATTGACCCGCCTCTCACGGTGTAATCTGATTGGCTGCAAAGAACTCGTGCAGATCGATATAGCTTTCCCTAGGCGACCAATCTTTCTCCCCTCCCCCGACTCTTCTACCCCTTCTCCTTCCCGCTCCGCAATTATAAAATCTGCAAGCGCATCCAAAAAACTCTCTCTCAACCCATGTGCCAACTTCAAGGAGATAGTGGCTAGATGAAGTGATGATCAGCGAGTGCCGAGCTGAGTGCAGTTTTGCAAGGTCGTGCGTCGGGTGGTCGGGGCAAATTGCGGGATTTGGGCAAGTTGACATAGAAACTAAGTTGGCGGGGTGACGATCGTTGTGGTACGAAGGTTGGCACATGGCTGCCGAGATCGCCAGTGCATAAGGAAGGTGTGTGTGAACGAGTAGTTGCATGGCCTGGGGCCATGATATGAGAGCCGAAGGCTTGCGTGCCTTGTTTTTTGTTCTTCTTTTCTTTTGGAAGTTAAGTTCACAACAGAACGCCGTTTTTTTCTTCAGATCTACTCGTGTGCTCGTAACTTTGTCTTCCTCAGTCAAGCTACGACTCCGTCAAAGCTCTCGCTCTCTCTCTCTCTCTCTCTCTCTCTCTCTCTCTCTCTCTCTCTCTCTCTCTCTCCATTAATGGTTGAATCCCCTAACGTTTTCCTTGCCCTTGTTAGCATCTAGGTCCTTACCCTACTCGTCTTTTCAGGTTCGATCGGATCTCGTCGAGACAAGCATCACAGAACTTAAAGAGGCCGGCGAGTTTGTGTGGCCTTGCTTTTCTCTTTCCGCCCCTCTTGTGTGTAATGAATGATGATTAATGAATGAGTGATTTTTTGCCCCAACTTTCTCATGTTTGAAGTTTCGTCAGGCGAACTCAGCCGAACACAAAAACAAGTCCGGAGAGAAACACTTTCTCGTACACATTGGGTGATTGTTGTTTTGATGATACGGATATAATGAGGCTTACTTTTTGCTTGCTTTCTTCCCTCAATAAATGTTCAACACTTGTGTTTTTTCCTTTTCATGTAGGATTTACTCAGGCTTACTTTTTGCTTGCTTTCTTCCCTCAATAAATGTTCAACACTTGTGTTTTTTATCAGATCAAATGACAGGTTGCGTAGACCAACGCCACTAGCTAACGTATGCCATGTGGACTGATCACACCGATCCGACTGGGCGCCACCTTCCCGTATTCCCACAGCGCCCATTCCCGTACGACGAGGAAGTCCACGTGTATGCGAGTGGGACATACAAGAAGCCGTCATAAAGATCGAGGGCTTTATTATTTCACTCCTAAAACAACGTGTTCGAGGTTCATGGAGGATGGGTTTGTGATCATCGATACTTATTTTCTACCTTATTCCTTATTATTGCCCTTCAACAAGTTGATGGTCATCCCGTGGACTGCGGAGGCACCCCATTGGCACAATACTCTCTGCAGCGATTGTCACCGCACTGAGCATTATTGGGAAATGGGTTTCCACTACCGGATACGTGGAGAGGACGAGTTTAAGGAAAGAGCAACCAGGCTGCGGCTTTCCACGTCGGACTCTAGGCTTTGGAGTGAGCAGCGATGAAACTTGATTCGAAAAAGAGATCCCACGTGCGAACCCACGCCTTTCCGTTCGAAAAGACATCGAGAAGCTCTATGAAAATTCATATATACTTTTTATATATTAGGATGACATTTGAAAATTGCACTCACCCATTTCCTTTCCCAGGCGACGATGGCCATTTCTCGCTAAAACTAGGATGACATGGGAGATTTCAGTTCTGCCTATGCCTCCACACTCAAATTTCCAAAAATCCTTGGCACACTCCATCTTGCCGTTCTTTCAGGGCCTTTTCCACATTTTCATCACTCTGACCAGAAGACAACACAGGGCATGAGCTTAGCACGTCACAAACATAACTCAAGAGACAGTTGTTATGATCCTGGCCAATTTCGAGATACACATCCATCAGACAGTACAATGTCGTCCAATTGCAGAAAGAAATGAATGAACTTGAGAGGAGAGAGAGAGGATTAGAGGAAGAAGAAGAAGTAGGAAAGAATAAGAAGATGATGTACACCAGCATAGACAAATGACATGACTCTTCTTCTTCGCCCAACAATCTCTTCCTCCTTATCTCCCCCTTCTCTTATTCATACAAGAAATAATAATACAATGTTGAATGGCTGATCCTGAATCAATGAGTTCCTCTTCTACTACAGGATTCACTTGAGGTCCACCATAGCCATGGCCGCCTCTCCCACTTTTCACTCTCATAGGCCGAGGCTATGGCGGACTACTAGGCCTTGCCCAGATGCCCAAAGGACAACCCAAAACAGCTATGGCTGCTCTAGCTCAGGCCGCCATGCCTGACCCTCCCTCAGAGCTTCTTGGTGTGGCTCTCCCCAGTTGGGGACTCCCTGCTGCAGCGCCCACCAAGGTGATGAAGATGGCTGCCACCATAGCCAGGTAAGTACCCTTGGCGCTCCTCCCCCTTCCTTCCTTCTTCCTCCCTCGTGTTCTCCGTCCTCCCCAGCAGCGCTGCTCCAGCCAGCGCTCCACCAGTGAGTCGCCAAACTTGGACACCGAAAAAGAGGTCGGGCTCTTTGCCCGACTGGGAGGTATAGCGGCCTGCTTGCCTCTTCGGGCGATGACTTCCAGGCCGCTCGGCCTTCCAAGCAACCGGTACCTCCTCCCTTTCGGAGCGAAACATCATTGCAGACTCTGATATTGCCTGTACAGGCCCTAGACCCAGACAGGTTGGACTGGTATCCACCTAGACCTAACCTACAACTACTGGGATTCTAAAAATGCCACTTTTGTCTTCTTCTGCTCGGCCTCCAGTACCCGCACATCTACCCCTTCAGGGTGCGGTACCGGCCTACCCCCTACTTGAGTGTTTTTCCTACTGCAATCCCTCAATGTCACGGCCACAGGTAAGTACCGGCCCTGAGGGCCCAATGAATGAGCAAGTGCCCTTGCGGGCCCCACACACACTCAAGCCAACCAGCACTCAGATAGGCACGGCCACACACACACTCAAGCAAATCAGCACTCAGACAGACATGCAGTCCAGCAAACGTGCACACACAGACTTAGTAGCAAGAAGGAAACTCAGCAGGGCATTCAGTCTATGGGCAGAACTTAGAAATCAGTTGTGTGTTTCAGTCCATGTTTGGACGGGTCATCACACTACTCCCCCCTCAAGAGCAAGGTCCCTTCGAGCGAGTTACTCATTCTGAGTCCTCGACAAACACATCGTAAGCAAGCAAGTCAAAGAGGTTCCTAGAGTAGTTTGTTGCAGTGAGTCTTGCAAAGATCTTAGGTATAGCGTTAGTGGCGATTTGTCACTCGTAGGCTTTGACAACGCGCGGTGCACTGCGTAGCAGTTTTTGTTTGGAAATCCAATACATATCGTCTAATGGGTGATACATGAAGTGAACCTGGTATTGTCTGTTGCGTCCCTTCCCCACGTACTGTTTGATTTTGTCTATCTCATGCCCGCCTTTGATCGCACGAGGGATCATGTCTTCGCGATAGTCGAACGTCTTAGCATCACGGTGGAGGTACAGTTTCTATGCATGGAACACGGGGCATGTGCGCAGATGGGTTGGCAAATCAACTACGTACGAAGGGCCAAAGTGATCTTTGCCAATCACATCCAAAACTTCCCAGGGTCCGTAATAGAGTGGGAGAAGTTTGCGAGAGACCCCTTCTTCTTCTGAGAATTCAGACATCTTAACCCAGACATAGCTTCCTACCTGAATGTCCGACGGTCGGCGCCCCTTGTTCTCGTGATGGATCATGGCATGTTGTCGCTTGGTCATGGCTGCAATGGGAACCTTGAGCAAGCGATCATACTTGGCCCTGAAGCTAGGCCTGTCGGGTGTTAAGCCAACTGGCTGCTCAGGGAATCGGTAGAAGAGCGGATTACAGATCTGCCAACCGAGATGCAGCCTGTTAGGTGTCATGCCGGTGGAAGATTGGATGGAGTTGTTGCACAACCCCCTAACGGAATACAACTCTTCATCCCATGTTTCCTGATCTGGGATAATCAAAGCACGAAGAAGTTGGAACACAGTCTGGTTGATTTCTTCATCCAAACCCTTGGCTTCAGGGTGTCGGCCAGATGTCATACACAGCCTGATCCCCAGATGAGACGTGAAGTCCTTCCATTCAGTACTAATGAAGCGCGGGTCCCGATCACTTACGAGAGTCTTCGGGGTCCCGAACTGCAGAATGTACTTATGTTGGAACTCACGAATCACTAATTTTGTTGGGTCGTGCGACGACAAAGGGATCAGATTGAGAAACTTAGAGAATCGGTCAACAATCACCATGACTTGTGAGTAGCCGTTCTTACTTACCTTTCCCATGTCGGTGAAGTCATCAGAGACGGACTCCCCGGGACCATCGGGAATGGGAAGGGGAGTAGCCACATGGGCTTTTGTCTGCATGGTTTGATTCGTTGACATACTTGACACTCAACCACAAACTTTTAGCAGTCCCTTTCATGCCAGGCCAATCAAACTGTCGCAGCAGATTTGCGTACGTCTTTGCCATGCCGAAGTGTCCGCTCCGGCCATGAGCCAAATCCAGAAAATGCGTGCGGAGAGGCTCATGGTTGGGCACACACAAGCGGTCGTAGTTCCTGTAGCGACGGAAAATCAGTCGTCCATATTCGTGAAAATCAGGCTGACTACTAGGATCAGCCCACAGCCGCTCAAGGATGGGACTAAGTTCCAGTTCCTTGGTTGTCTGCTCTACGAGCTCCTCCTTCAGTTTCTTCCGGAGGTCGTAGGATTTCACAACGCAAGTCATGTACTCAGGGTGGCGAGACAAGGTGTCGGCGACTCGACTATAACAGCCCTTTTTGTGCCTCAACTCAAAGTCAAAGATGTCAATTTCATGGAACCAGCGAATTAACGTAGGAGACAGGGTAGTTTGCTCCTTGATCCACTTCAAGGTCTCATGATCTGAGAACACTTTGAAGTGGCGTCCCAAAAGATAGTGCTTCCAATGGTCCAAAGCCATACGCAAAGCATAGAGCTCGCGCATGTCGGTGGAAGTGGCTACCTTTACGCCGGGCATGCGTTTGCTGTAGAATTCGAGCGGCCTCAAGCCATCGCCGTCATCTTGCTGTAGCTCTGCGCCGATTCCATACTGACTTGCATCCGTAGTAACTACAAATGTCAGTTTGGGATTTGCAATGCGGAGTACTGGGTAACTTACCAAGGCGTCTTTCAAAGCTTGAAAGGCGTTCGTGCACGCGGTATTCCAAGAATAGGGAACATTCTTGCTTGTCAGTCGAGACAATGGACACGCAACAATGGAGAAGCGGGGTACAAACTTCCGATAGTGTGACGCGAGACCAAGAAAAGAGCGCAATTCGCGAACATTCACCGACTGCCCAAGATAAATGACACTATCCTTCCCAAACGAAGATTTCTCTAAGTTGAGATGGAGTTTTGTCTTCTTGAGGATGGTCAGTACTTCCTCAAGGTGCTTGAGGTGTTCCTCCATGGACTTGCTGAAGATTAGTATGTCATCGAGGTAGACCACCACGAACCGGCCAATCTGTTCGCGGAGGACATTGTCCATGAGGCTTTGGAAGGTGGTCGGTGCATTCGTGAGACCGAAGGGCATTACGGTAAACTCGTAAAGCCCATTGTGTGTTTTGAATGCAGTTTTGTGCTGGTCCACAAGATCGACTTCAATCTAGCGGTAGCCAAACTTGAGATCGATCTTGGAGAAGACCTTGCACCCACTTGCGACATCAAGCAAGTCGTCTATTCGGGGTAGTGGATAGGCGTTCTTTCTTGTGATGAGGTTTAGGCCGCGATAGTCAATACACATGAGGAGTTTGCCTCCTTTCTTCGGAACAAACAAAATAGGAGCACCAAATTCAGACTCACTAGGCCTGATCCACCCTTTGTCAATCATGTCGTCAATCTGTCGTCGGAGTTCCTCCAACTCGCCGGGTCCTATCCGGTACATGCAGCCCTTTGGAGGAATAGCACCCTCGACCAACTCGATGGTGTGTCGGCCCGATCGCGTGGGGACTCCACGTGGCTCGGCCATAACTTCTGGGAACCGTTCGAGTAGGTTTTGGATGTTTGGTAAAACCGGCGGGGGTGGAGGATAAGCAAAGGGATCACCTAGATCAGGTCGTAGGTTACGAATAGAGGCAACCGAATCTGAAGTAGGATCATTTGGACTAGTAGAAGGTAGAGAAATAGAGGTGCTAGAAGTAGAATCACTAGCCGAGGTAGTAGTGGTACTAACCGCAAAAGTAGATGGCACATGAGTAGGACGAACAAAGGCAACATACAACTGTTCAACCTCCTTGTGCTTGCGCCATTCTTGCATAACTTCATAGCATTCAGAAAAGTCACTGGGGACTCGTGCTTCTCATCCAGGAGGATGGGAAGCTCATTCCCTTGAGCATCCTTGACCATGAAAAGTGACTCCTTCCACTTGGTCCATTCGCATTGGGACTGCAGGCAGCCCAAGCCAAGGACAACATCGAAGGGCACTTGTCAAGGACATAGAAGTTCAATGCGTGGGTGACAGTTTTGCTCTTGCCAAAGGTAGTGCGCACACCTTTGACTGCATGCATAGAAGAGACAACTTCCTTGTTGCCAACTTGGGTTCGGCAAGGTTTTACAAGGCCACTTGCTTCATTCCCAAGCCTACTTTGCGTATCCCGTGAGGTGACATAAAGTTAGGCGTCGCGCCACAATCAATCAAGACATAAAGATAACGGTGTTTATGAGAAGTTTGAAGAAGATCAACTTTCATGTCCCTTGGGCACACTGCTGTTTAATCTCAGCCCAATGCTCCAAGTGGTAGTGGAAGTCGAACGTCCCAGACTCCTCCCAAGGCTCGACATACAACACATCACACACTTCAGCCTTGGCTTCAGCAGATGATTGGGCTTTAAGGGAGGACTGTTGATCTACATCAGATTCAGTCTCCCTTGTTGTAGAGTGTGCTGAAGTCGACTCTACGCCAAGGTCTGGTTTCCCTGCAACCTACAGCAATCCTGTACTTTATGGTTTGGTTTCTGGCAATGCAGGCATACCCCCTTCTTGAGTCTACCCTGCCAATCATTTTCAGTGATCCGAAGGTCGACCCATGGTTTAGTGGTCGCATCCTCCGGTTTTGCTGGGATTTTGACTCCCTTGGAAAGTTGGACATAGTTCTTCCTGCATTCCGATTCGGTCCCCTTGTATTGGCAGTCTTTTTAAAGGCAGTAAAATTTTCTTCTTCTTGATTCACATCAGACTCATGGGCTGACGAGCAGGCTGTATTAGCGTCCTGTTCTTGGTCGTCACCAAGAGTGGGGTCATCTGCTTCGGCCTCCTCTTAAACCTCCAGCAGGTCATGCACAGCAAAACGGCTGCTGCCTTTGAACCGCCTGCCGCCCATGGGCTTCTTGTTGCCTGCTGTGGTGACGAGGTCTACCGCCTCGAGACTAACCATGTCCTTCATTAGAGTGAACCAGTCAGTATACCCAATGAAGTCCCTGCCTAAGAGATTAGTAAAACTGGTGGGGACTGCGCCCTTGAGCACATCCAAGCAAGATTGTTCAGTTAGTTCAAGACCAGGTGTAGCAAACATCTTGCTGAGATAGGTTTGCAGGGTTTTCATGGAGCCCGTCCACTTGCTGCGTTTGATCTTGTCAAGGTGGTTTGTTGCCCTTGCTGCAGCGTGTGGATCCCTATATTGGGCAATGAGGACTCCCTTGAAGGAGCCAACCGGGGTGGCCTTAAGCCACCTTGTCAGTTCAAACTTTGGAACCCCAGCCCGCGTAGCTTGGACTTTAGGAAGCCCCGTACAACCGGCTCAACATTCATTCCCATGATCACAAGCTGAGTCTTTGGCTGAGTCCCCAGCACCTCGAAGTATGCCCTCATGGAGCTTATCCAAGATTGAATGTCTTCTTTGCCGTCGTACTTAGATGGTATTTGCACCACCTTTCGATCCACATAGGGACCGACGTGGCTAGGACCAGCAATTGCTGGTTCAGATCTTGGGGCTGCAGCAGTTGCAGAGTTTCCGGCCTCGGTGGCGAGCCGTCTGACACATTTTGCATTCGCCGAGTTTGACGAGTAAGTGCAACCAGGCGCCTACTCGCCAAACTTGGCGTATCGCGAGTAGTGCAACTAGGCCCTCATACTGAACCCAGATTCTGTATCCAACTGCTTTCTTTTTTTTCTTTTTTCTTCTTTATACATATAAAGGAAAACGCGGGTCTCGTGTGACGGCCCCACGCAAGACGCGGTTCCCTGGTGTGGGACTCGTGGCAGGTCCAAGGGTGGACTGCGTGCCGGTTCGGTGAGCCCCGGGGGTCGAGTCGAGTTGCCTGAGGGCGGCCAATGTTCGAATTTACGGCCTTTTTTTTTTTTTTGGTTGGTGTGGGCGCGGCGCGGGATCTTTAGTCGCTGCAGGTTTGTTTTGCGCCGCGTCGTGATTGCAGGTGTGGCCATATTCAACCAGGTAGTGTATATCTCCATTTCTCTATCTCTATACATATAAAGGAAAACACGGGTCTCGCGTGACGGTCCCGGGCGTGACCCGGTTGCCTAGTGTGGGACTCGTGGCAGGCCCAAGGGCGGACATACATATAAAGGAAAACGCGGGTCTCTCGTGACGGTCTCGCGCGAGACCCGGTTCCCTGGGGTGGGACTCGTGGCAGGCCCAAGGGCGGACTGCGTGCCGGTTCGGTGAGGCCGGGGGGTCGAGTCGGTTTGCCTGCGGGTGGCCAATGATCGAATTTACGCCGTTTTTGTTTTTGGTTGGTGTGGGCGCGGCGCGGGGTCAGTGGGAGTCGGAATCGGGGAAGGAGGGGGAGAGGAAGGGGAGTCGGGATCGGAGCGTCGGGATCGCAAGGGAGGGGGGAGGAGGGGGAGGCGAGCTTGAGGAAAGAGGGGGAGCAGAGGGAGGAGTCGGGATCGGTGCGTCTTTTTTGGGCGGGGGAGGGCGCCGGGATTGCAAGGGTGGGGGAGGAGGGGAAGCGGGAGTCGGTGTGTGTGTGTGTGTGTGTGTGTGTGTGTGGGTG